ATTTATTTTTTATTTAATAATTATTTAGTCATTTCCTGTCCGTAAATTATAAGTTGAAATGTCTAAGTATTCGACTAATAATAATCGTCTATGAATTCAATGAGCCAATAAGGTTAATAATCAGCATTAATATGTATGTGTGTATATATTACAAGAAAAAAAAAATTATAGAAATAGTACCACCAATCATTATCTTGTAGCACAAAAACACTACACACACACGAACACTAAAAGCAGGAAAAACGCACTCTGAATTATTTAAAAACAAAAAGACAAAGCGAGAAGTTAAAGATCAAGTCAACAAAAATATTTAAACATTTGGCACGGGCTTGTATGTTGGATTTGATGATATATCTTTGAATCCGGCTTCTTTTGCTCCTACAATTGTGCTAGTTGTTGTTGTTCGTATATTTTTATTAAATTTTTTTGAAAAAATTATAAAGAGAACAGCAAGAATAATACCAATGATACACAGAACCATCAAACCAACAAAGAATATCTTGCTCCAAGGCCACGAACCTTAAATCATTAAAACAAACATATATATATTTTTTTTTCTTTCTATAAAATAGAAACAAACCGTCAGCTGAAAATGGATCTGTTTTAGATTTATAACCACCAAATGATGAACCTTCATCAAATTTGGGATTGTTAAATACAACATCAAGATCAGAAGACATATTTGAGAAAGACTACAGACAAAAATAGATTGAAGATACAATAAATTTCTTATAACCAATCTATAATTTATTTTAGTTTAGTAATAAAAGCAAAACGAATACAACATAGAAAAGAGACACTTATTGTATTTTTGATTACAATCTATTTGCGACGTGTGGTTACGATGAAAAAATCGCAGTCATGTGTAACCAAGGTTATTTTTTGTAATCACGTCGACGCTGTAAAAATAAGACGACATGTGTCTTTTGTACACCTTATTGCTTTTATATATTTGTTTTTCTTTCTATTCGTTCGTTTTTTTTTCTTTGGCAACATAATTTTCAACGATACGTTTGATGAGACAGAAAACCAAATGACACCAATAATAATAACTCAACAAAAGTTTTGTTGTCTTCTGCATTATTTATTCCTTTTTTTTTTTGAAGAGTCTCTATTGTTCGAAAGGAAAGAAATTAAAAACCGAATTCATGAAAAAATTATATAGTTATTGTTGTCACTGTTGTTATCATCATTTAAACATGAATTTGTTCTCGTTTCTTGTTTCAATGAATAATATTTTTTTTGCTGATTTATATGAGGATGTGAGTGTGAGACATTTAATATATTATCTCAAGATATGAATAAATTTTTCAGATTTTCTCATGATACGATTTTCATTATTTTTGTAACGATCTTATCTGATCGACGATATTATCTTCATCGATCAACAAGAAGAAAAGACTTTAAACGCATGACGAATGATTGAAAGATGCAAGTCACCTTTTCCAGTTTAGATATGAACGAGTCATGATCTCGTACAATTAACACAGAGATAAAACAGCTCATTTACTGCTTCCATTTCTTTCATTTTAATGAACTACTGCTCATTTCAAAATAAAAGACACGTGGGTATTTTTTGAATAACTTTCGATAGGAATAAGATAGAGAGCTGTGGTTTTCATCGTTGCAAAGAGGCTGATTCAGGGCATTCACTCATATAAAACTGTTAAGGTTTATCTCAAAAATAGGTGGTGATCCATTGTCATCTTGAAAGAGTAGACTATTGCTCTTTGAAAGTAGAACAAATCTTAAACTTTGAGAAGTGCGCTAGGATCGCCAGTTTAAGAGCTACAAAACTATATACAACGCTTGATTCAAAGCTTTACTGGTTTGCGAGTTCTAGGTACTATATTCGACAATAATAGTCCATTTCGCCAGCGCTTTCTGTAAAAAACACTCAGTTTTTTTGAGTTTTTCTTGGAAAAATCAGGCCTGTTTTTAAGGCATTTTTTGTTCAACTATTGCAAGAGGTTTCAAAAATCCAAGTTAAAAATCATTGTCTTATATGGTTCGATGCGTTTTCATCTGCTCTTTCCGACGATGAAAACCGCAGCTCTGTATCTTGTTTCTATCAAAAGTTATTCAAAAAATATCTACGTGCCTTTTAATTTGAAATGGGCAGTAGCATATCTTGTTGATATAGATTCTTGCTGATCTCTATTTGATTTGAATCGTATCGATAAGATAACTTTTCGTTGTTTTTTTTCAACAAAAATTTTGGTTCCGATCAATCACCAAACATTACACAGCACGTTCGTACCTTTTTCGCAAGAAATATCTCGCTTAATGTACAATGTCTCGGTGTTACGAAAACTATTCGAGTCAATACACAACTTATCTGTTTGATTTCTTACAGAAAGTCTTTTGAATGTTTTCTTTTGCAAGTAAATATGATATAATGAATGAAAGTGTTAAGACAAGAGATATAGTTATGTATCTTATATAGATCACTTGCTAATTAACTGGATAATTTGAAACAATGATATTTTCTGTTCAATCAGACATACTAATTGATGAAAGGTATGATGATAGTAATGCTTGTCTACCTTTTTTCTTCTCATTGTCTTATTATAGTCAGTCGTACACAATCAAATTCATCTTTAGAGGAAGCTCAAGTAAATTTGCTACCAATGACCTTTGAGATTTCCGTTAAAAATTATTGAAATATCTTTTACTCTATGACAATATCGTAGAAGATGCATCGGTACTTTTTGCAATGACCGTTCGTTTTTAATCTGTTTTGACTTTAATATCGAAATCAACCTATTTCTCAAAGACTAGTCAAATTCGATAAACTGACAAAGTATTTGCCCTTCGGTCGAGATTTGATTTTAATTCTATGATAAGACATTTCAATGTCTATTTTCAATGATTATTTCTCGTACAATCTAAAATTAAACATTCGAGATAATTTAAGAAAAAAGAACGAAAACAATGTCGAATCAAAAGAGTAATCATTTATTTTTAAAAAAAAAATGTTAATTATTTCACTGCAACAATTATTTTCATGAAGTTTTCTTTCATAATGATAATTAATATATACAAATAGAAAAATAATATTTTATTTTTAAAGAGTATATCGAAAATCTGGATGTCGATCACCAATTAATTGAATTCCACCATATCTTTGAATTTGTTGTTGTTTTTCATCATCATTAAGTATTTGTCGTCGATGATTAATATAAATAAATATAAAACGAAGAATAATGATAAGTATTGTTTGTAAAGCAACACAACTAAAAGCAATTGTATTACCTAGAAAATATCTTGGTTTCTGTTTGTCCTGATATATTTGGCCTGAAATTACTCCACCAATTGAACCAATTGAAACAATAACTGCTGATGCAACAGCACGACGAGTTAATGAAGCACTAGATTATTATCAATAGATAATGAATATTTTTTAAATTGACTTACAAATTATTATTGAACCATGCAACTTTAATACTAACATTTGCATAAGTACCTGCTGTAAGAAAAACAATACTCATATAGAGAATATTCACATGTTGTTGTTCGATGAACATTAGAAGGAGAAGACCACACATTGAAAAAAGATTTATTAAAACCAAATGAAAAGATCGTTCGATAAAACTAAACAAAAGAAATATTTTTGTTTTTCAATATAAACGATAGAAAATCACGGAGAGAGAGAGAGAGAGAGAGAGAGAGACTTACTAATCAGAACTACGTGAAACAATAATAATTGCAATAAAAGCAATAATATATGGTGGAATAGTCATTAATTGTGTTTGAACAGTTGTCCAATTACCCATACCATGGATAATAGACGGTAAAAAGAGAGTTACTGCTTGCAATGGAATGGTTCCTGTGATATAAATGATTGAGTAAATAAAGGTTTTCCAATCGGTAAATACAGACCAAACTTGTGACCAAGCAAATGAATGATTAATAGAAGCACCACCATCATCATTCATACGACGAATTTCAATATCACGTTCTTTGCTATTTAAAAATCGTGCATGTTCAGGTGAATCAGGTAAGAAGAAAAAACAGCATATAGCTACAATGATTGTTGGAATACCTTCGATCTATTATTACAAGAGACACACACATACACACGAAAATTATGATATTATCTTGTCTACATAAGAAGATCAACTTACAAGAAATATTAATTGCCATTGTGACAATGTCGATGATTTTATTTGACCAATACCAAAAGCTAAAAGACCACCAAAAGCACCAGCAAGTGCCGAAAAAGACCAGAAAAAACCGAGTCGAATAGCTTGTTCTTTTCTCGGATACCATAATGACATAAAATAGATAAGACCCGGAAATAGACCAGCTTCGAATATACCAAGTAGAAATCGACATACAAGAAGACCAGCAAAATTTTTTATGGCTGCTAAACTTACAGCTATTACGCCTTAAAAATAATTAATTCATAAAAATTAATTAAGAACTATGATAATTTATTTACCCCATGCCAACATTATTAGACTAATCCATCTTGATGGACGCCAACGACGAAGAATTATATTCGATGGAACTTCGAAAAGAACATAGCCAAAGAAAAATATCGACAATGACCTAAATTATAAACTCAAAATTGTACATTCTGTATCAATATGAGCATTCGAAAATATTACCATTGATACTGTTCAGAACTTAAATGAGTTTCTTCTACAAGACCACCCAATTTAGCATTGGCAATATTTGATCGATCGAGATATGAAAGTAAATAGGTGATCCTAATGATAAAAATACAAAGCATATTCTTCTTTGATATTATCTGAGAATGACATACGAAAGAAGTGGTAGTAAGTGAAAATCAAGTTTGCGTATCAAAATTTTTTTCGTTTTTCGCATCTCTTCATCATCAGACCAAGTTTCTGTTGTTGCTTGATCTTCTCTATTCTCAACAGTAGAAGATATTATGTTGTTGTAATCATGTTTTGGTGTTCTATTTGCTTGATTCGTTGTCAATTCTACTTCATCACAAAAAGATATAGTCGAAAACGAAAACGAGTCTTGTCGTTTCTTATCTTCAATGATTTGTCTATTTTCAATATGATCGAAAGTATTCTTCATGTCAAGAAAAATAATTTTTTCATGTAAGTAAACAGAAGTCAACGAGTTTATATATTTATTTATTGAAGTGCCGATATTAATTTTAAAATGTGAATGATGATCGAGAGATGGAAGAAGTCAAGCATGACAGAAGAGAAACAAGCAAAGAACACTGAGTCTATATCAAATGATATTATTATCTTTATTACAGAGAAGGAAAGAAAAAAAATATGGACACTTTATAATGATGTTATCAGCAGTATTGCGTCAAATTTTCTTATTATTTATTCTTCACATATTTCTTGTGTATTGATTATTCGAAGAACGACAGTTATAGCAAACAGAGTGTTGCACTGGTGTAGGTATGGGTGAAGAGGGTTTCAGAAAAGTTTAGTAAAAATTTGAGCATTGCTCTCTACTTAATAGGAACTATTATGAAAAAGTTATATTTGTGAATGAAATTGAAAATTGATCTTTATCGGAAAATGCAAGAACGAATAAATAAATAGGGTGTAGGTGTGAATGTGAAGAGAATCGACACTCGCACTAGAGACCTGCGGAGTACTCCGAAACCCGATTCCAACACCGACGATGCCGGAGTAAGAGTCAGAGAGACATGATGTGAGATCCTTTGCGGTACCCATATCGAGAGAGATGTGGAGTATGTTTCTCTGTGGTTGAAACTTGAAGTTTCAATGGAATTCAAGTGTAATATATATGGCACAAAAGTAGTCCATCACATCGTCTGGTCATGCAAAATGATGGCAGTCTGGTGATTTACGATGTCCAGAAAATCTAACTTTTTGGAATTTTCCTCATAATTTGCTATTTTTTTTTTGTCAAGGAAAAACAAAAGTTACAATCATTCTCTTGTCTTGAACAATAGCATTTTTTCCTTTTGCTCGACGATAATTCGATACTATTTTACTGAAATAATGATGCAATCAATAATCAATGAAATATATAGACTTGTAAGTAGATCAACGAATCGATAAAAGCTTTTCGCTGTTTGCAAGAAATGAATTCGTAGTGACTCTTATGTCCATCGAAAATGAACAACTGTTGAGAGCAACATTATACGTTGTGTGTATGATAGTGAATGATCAAACTGCAGTTTGAAACTTAAAACTTGAATTTCAATTAGTCAAGTATTCTAGTATTGAAGTTTCCAATTATTGAATTCGTACGTTTCAGAGTTTCATAACCTCCATACTATGCTTGAATTTGGTTGAAGTCTATCGATTGGTAAATAAATCAGAGTGGACTGTTATTTTCAGGAAAGATTACTATGATATATATTATTCGATAGAGGAATCAAGAGAGCATCAATTTGACGTATGAGTCGACTAAACATAAGAATAGATGAGTGAAACAACTACCATCAAAATACATTCTACCTTCGAACTTTTTAGGGCATTTCATATGGACAAAAGATGAGCACATAAATCGACTCGGATGTAATATGGAATATCTTAAAACGGTCTACTCTTATTTGTTTTTCTTTTCATCTTATTTACTATTAATCGAATCAATTTTTGTTGAGAAATAAAATTCTTTGAAAAGCGAATTACAAAAAAAGAAATTAAATTATTTAGATTTATAAGAAAAATTTTCTATTTATAGTTTTACAAGTTATAAAATAAATATTTAACTCTTATTTTCAATTTACGTTTTTCTATTAAAAGATTGTTTATTATCTTTAAAATACAATTCTATATACAAAAAAAAATAAAAAAAAAACACAAGGAATAAATTATATTTTCATTTAATTACTCGATATAGATTTCACTTTAGTATTAGTTCTATGAATGAATAGCATAGAATCACATTTCTTGTTCAGTTTTTTTAATAAGTTGAAGAGATTATTATTAAATTGATCGATAACACACAATAAGAAATATTACTTGAAGATGATAGTTATTCAATACTGTATTTGATATGATACTATAATCCAACGGTTTCACAACTTATATTCCATAGATATTCAGCTGATTTCTTATCTGTACATAATGGAATAGGTTTAGCAGGAGCACAATTTCTTAAAAATAATATATATCAATTGATATTTATGTTTATTAATTAACTTGATACATACTCATAATATAAATCACTAGATTTTTCTAATGATGGTTCAACAGCACAATAGACAGTTGTACGTGCACCTATATAAGGTGTTTTAGCAAAAATAAATTTAAGAATACGTAGTAATGGATAAATAATAAGACAAAACCATATACCAACTGCTGGACGTAATGGACCTTGAAACGAAGTCCATACCCATCCGGGATTTACTGCAAATACATGAACACCTTGATCTATCAAATGAAACAAAAACAAAAATTTGTTGAATGTACAAAAAAAATATTCAAAGTTTACCACGTAGATCATGTTTAAGTTTGTATGAAGATAAAATTTGACATGCTTTAGATGGACAATAAGAACCCCACATAGTATCTGCTTTAAAATTTATCAATGCTGTCAATCCTTCAGTTGTTGGAGGATCTATAAATAATAACAACAAAAAAATTAAAACTCTATTTTTGTTTTCATTTTTGTCTACTCACATTTATGTGCAATAGATGAAACATTAATAATTCGACTTGGTTGACATTTTTTTAATTTATCTAACAAAAGATTTGTTAATAGAAAATGACCAAGATAATTAGCTTGCATAACATAATTTAATCCATCTTTACTATAAATATTCGGTGTATAAATAAGACCAGCATTACAAATCAATATATCAAGTCGATCTTCTTTAGTATTATATAATTTAACAAATTTATGAATAGAATCAAAAGAAGCTAAATCACATTCCATTAATCGAATATTTTGCTCATTACATTTTGTTTCAAAATGAAGTGTTCTTAATGCTTGATGACCTTTATCGATATTACGACAAGCGATAATAACACGAGCACCTATAAAAATCTCTTATAAACATCCGAAAAAAAAAACAAACATTAAATTAAAACCTCGTAAAAGAAGATCTTTAGCTGTTTCATATCCAATACCAGCATTACCACCCGTAATAACAACTGTTTTGCCTTCCATAGATTGCGTACTTGAATACAATAATCGATTGATCCAGAATTTATTAAATAATCGTGTTACTATAACTAAAAAAACAAAACATAAAATTATGTGAAGAATTTTATGTAAAAAAAATAATTATCATACTTAGAAATGTCAATACCAAAATAATCGTACAATATTGATCGAATAGTTGATTGACATATGAACAGAGATTGTCAATAATTGATAAAAACATCATGATTGTGGAATTTTAATCTAGACATGAAAGAATGTAGATAACATACTTTTTCAATAGAAGAACATATTTATATGTCTATGCAAATGTATTAAAGCAGCAACATTATTATCATCATCATCATTCTACATAGTTCTTTTCTTATCTTATTCGTTTTTTTGTATTTTTTAACTGAAGTATAGACAGTCAGCTGATACACGTTCGAAATAAGAAGTACGGTATCATTCCATACTGTCTTATCGAATAGATTGTTAGTAAAAATTAAGAATATTCGAACATTTCAATTAGTGTTAACTTCTACTCAAGAAGCTCAAATCAATTTTTTATCTTTTAGAAACATTCAGATTAATTAATAAATTTCTAATTAAAACAAAAAAAAAACACAAATGACAAATCAATTAAACATTTATTTATTTTATTTTTCGTTTAATGTGTATGTATGTTAGAAAAATTGAATCTTCTCATGCTTACATACACTTTATTCACCATTCATCAATATTCTGTAGTAGTACAACAATTATTTCCATTTCTATCTGAGAGTCTATATACAAAAGAAAAAATAATAATAATAATAATAATAATAATAATCATCATCTTCAAATTGCTATATTAAACATAGATAATAGTAGGTGGTCCAGTAATTATTTGAAATTGTTGATGAGATAATTTTTGTTGATGAAATTCTTCATTATCACTATTAATTATTTCATGTTCATAATCATCATCATTACTACTTGTACCACAATGAAGTATAAGTGTATCATTTTCATTCCATGTTATTGGTTCAAGTTCATTATTTATTGAATTTGTTCCCGTTGTATTTGTTCCAATAATTGAATGTGTTGATGTTTGTTCAATTGATGTTAATGGATTATTATTATTATTATTATTTGATGATGGTAATATTTGTTTAGTATTTTTCATATCATTTGGTATTAACATTAAATCATATGGATAAGAAAATATATTTGATGATTTAGATTTAATTATTGTTGAATGATGAGAAGGTTTAGGAGAATGTTGATTTATATTAGATATGTGATTAGATGATGATATTGATCGACGTCCTGTATTTAATAAAATAAATATAAGAATAATAATAATAAGTAGAAGAATAAGAATGAGAATAAAAAATATAATAATTATTGAAAAACCAAAACGAGATGAAGATATTCGAACTAAAAAATATAAAAATTATTATTTTGAAAATATAAAATTTAATTTTTTTTTTTGTTTTTTTAAACATACGTTTGCCTTGATCATTAATCAAATATAATTGATCTCGACAAATAGGACAACAATGACCAGATAATGTCACCGTATGTATACAAGTTAATGTAGGACATTTTTGTTGATGACATACAATTGTTCCAAGTGAACATTCACAATGATGACATTCACTTACCTAAAAATGTCTCGAAATAAAAAATATTTCCAAACTATTAACTCACATTCCAATGTTCACCCGAACGATATTGTATAAAATTAAAAATACAAACAGCTACAGCAGCTGTTGGTGGAAGACAAAAAGGACAACATTCACCTTTTTTAAGAACAGGATTAGAACATGGTAATTGTTGATTACATATTTGAGGAAAACATTTAATTTGACCAGTACTATCACGTGGACAAAGACATGATTGACAATCATTTGTTTTCCATAATTCTCCAGCATTTTTTATCATACCATTATCTAATATACAAACATCTTCATTTGTATTTGATATATCTATTATTGATGATGATGATGATTCAGATGTTATTGGACAAGTAGGACAACATAAAGAAGAATCATGAATTGGTGATGAACAAGGAAATGGTGGACATAATGATATACTACAAAATGCAATGTTATGTAAACATATACATTTTGTACATTTATCAAATTCAAGTTCTTCACCAGTTACATATTGACTAGCATAACATACTTGTGATGATGGAGTCGGTTCTGGTAACATAGGAATATCTTTATAAAAAGAAAAAAAAACAAAATTAATTTAATAAAAAAAAAAAAAAAAAACAAATTAAAATTCAACCTGGACATGAAGGACAACATCGATTTGGTAAAATAATAGGTTGTGAACATTTTGGTGTTGGACATGATATAAGTGCACATAATTGTTCACCTTTATGACATAAACATTGTCGACAACCATCAAACCATATTTCACCATTTGAATATGTAAATAAACCTGATAGACATTGTTTCGACCATGAATGTAATATAAGTTCTGTATTTAAAGTAAAATTACTTTCACAAACACATATTGAACAACCAATATCATTTTTTTTTAATCCATAAGTACAATTTTTTGTACAAATTAATTGTGGACATGAATTACAAGCACAATAAGGACAACCAGTTTTATAATCAATTGAATAATTATATGGACAATGTTTATCACAATGAAATGGTTGACAATTTGTATTTATTGGTGGTAAACATAAACAATATTGTTTTGATAATTTATCAAATTTAAGTGTACATAATGGTGTTGGACATGACATGGTTGAACAAGCACATTGAAAACAACCATGTTCATCTTTAGTTAAACCATGTTCACATACAATTAAACAATTATTTAATATTGGACATTTATAAATTAATGTTTGTGATATAGATTGTGTTATTGTATCAATATTTTGTAAATATTCTTCATCATCATCATCATCATCATCATCACATACAGGACAACAAACATTTGCAATTTGACGAGGATTTTCACATGGTGGAGCTATACATCCTTCAGCTATACAACGTGATTGACCATTTTCACACCAACATCTCATACAACCATTCGATTCAATCCAAGTTGAATTCATATGTTGAATATGAAAACGATCATTTAAACAACCTAATTTTAAAATATTTAAAAAAAAAAAAGATTAATTTAAAAATAATTTACCTCCACATTTTGGACAACATTCATTTTCTGGTTTATACATATATCCACAATGTGTATAAATTGGACATTGTATCATAGCACAATCAACATGTCCAGCACGACATGTACATGTTGTACAATGATCAATTGACCATGTTTCATTTTCATTATAGATTTTTTTATCATGATGACATTGTTGAGAATCTTGATTAAATAAAAAAAAAAGAACAATGATTTTTAACATTCCTATCATATGATTAATTCTTATTAGAAATTTTCAAAACAATAGAACAAAACAAAAATGTTATCAGCTGTATTATATATGATGCAGTAAATAATAGCTATTTCTGATAAGAATTATTTATATGTTTTCAAATTTTGATTTTAAAATGTAAAAAAATGTTTTGCAATTGGACACTATAACAGATGCTCTTTCATTATTATCTAAAAGTCTTTGATAACAATCTATATTTATTTAACAAATATCATCTATCTACTATTTCTAGTTGATTCAGATTTTTGCAAAGCATTAGTTAGACTTTGTATAAAAGAGCAAATTAATCTGATTATAAATGGCATTTTTCGAACAAAATAAAAGAAAATGTCAGTTTTGTTTTTCAAATAATTGACATACTGTCTAACCCAAAAAGACACATATCAAATAACTTATATGACATGACCTAAAAACTTTCATTTCTTCGTTCTATAATGTTAAGTTAACAAGAGAAGTTCTTCAATTGGACTATATACATCATGTAGACTCTTATGAGCTATGAATATCTAGTATTTCTAATAGAAATTACAGCATTGACTTCAAAACCAAAAAAATAGAAAACAAATCCGTATTATTGCAGAATCTCTGTAGCAATAAGCTAAAGTTGTAAAGAATTAAATTTCTGTCTTTTAGGATAAAAAAAAATTCGAATTATGTAGAATATTATAAAATTTTTTTCGTCATAGTCGATATATACATATATTCTCTCTCATTCTCACCTACTCTTAATGCAATTAAATTGAGTACAACATTGTCCAGGAAGATTTGGATTGCCTGTACGATATATTTGAATAAAAGAATTTTCACCACACATAACTTTTGGACATGATGAACATACACAATGACCTCGAGATTCACAACAGATTGATGAAAGATTTTTTGTTTGAGATAATGATGTTCGTAGTAAGGGTGTTTGATTTTCAATAAATTGACTATCCGATGGACAAATTGATGTATTATTACAAATGATATTTGAACAATCGATGAATTCTTCGACTAAAAAGAAAGAAAAATTAATTTTTTTTTTTTTGTTTAGATTTTAGCATCCGAAAAGAGTAAGATTGACTGATTTTTATTATTCAAATCAATAGACGTACTAATAAGTCATTATCAATATATAATATATAATTTAGGATGAATATTAAAAAACAAAAACTAATAGAAAACTCAATGTTGTTGTTTTAATTTATAATAATTCTTTTGTTAAATACAAAATTATATGAGAATATAGATCAGTCTATGGAACATGTCTTCCTGTCATGACATATACAAATAATACCATATGTATATGTCCTTTTTTTTTTGTTTCGATAACTTATTCCATAATAAATCTCTATAGAAGACAAAAAGAAGAGTAACAGGGTGACATGCTTCTGAAACCACTTAAATGATACTTTCACATAAGTTACAAGACATAAGAAAGATCACAGCTGGTTCTGTTTTTTGTTTTGTGCCAGATATATATATATACATATATACAAATGACCTCATCATATCAATGTTCTATGCAAGATTTTATGACAAGAAGTCAACATAATTAACCGACGACAAGATAATATAATGATAAGAAAATTCAATGAATAACTAAATTTACACTTACTATTAAGAGTTTTTAAAAAACTTGATTTATGTTCTTGTTGAAGATCTATTTGATGTTTACAATTATCATTTATAATAGAATAAAGATTTTCATCACAAGGTATACGTCTATCAAGACATTCACATATTGTTTTATTATTTTTAATAATTGATAAACATTGAAATTTTAAACATGCTAAAATATTTAAAAAAAAAAAAAAGAAAAAAATATATCTTATTATTCATTGAATAAAAACAAAAAAAATTCTTTCTTGTTTTTTGTTAAAACCTTTTACACAAATTCCCATTTGTTCAGAAAGATTCTTTGTTGTTTTATTTGATTTATAACAAAATAAATCTTGTTCACAAATACCATATACATTAAATCTTCCACCACATATTTCATTTTCATATCGAAGACATACAGTACAACAATTACATTGATCACGTATAAATTTCGTACAATTTTTATTTAATAATGAATATTTAAAACAATAATCAATTGAACATATTTCTTGACATTCTATTTGATTATTAGGTATAACAATTAATTTCGATTGTTCATTTTTATTTTCAATAGTAATTACATCAAATATGAATGTCCAAAGCATAATAATGAGCTGAAAACGCCCGATAAACATTACTACTTAAATGTTACATACATAGTCTTCTTTAGATTAATAGAAAAAATTTTCATAGACAACTTGTTTGTTGATACCATCGAGATATTTCAATAGAACTCGTCCTAAAATAGAAACAAAAAAAAAAAAAAACATATAAATATCCTTTCAACTAAAAATATCGTTCTTTGATGAAATCAGTATAATGGTTTAAAAGTCAAGTTGGACAGAAAAAAAATCTGGATGGACAACCATCTTATGCGCAAATAGTTGTCATACCAGACATGTATGTTACTTTCCTTTTCTGATAGTTATTGTCTTAGACAATATACATATGCCTTATCTTTGGCTAAAACTAATAACAACAACAGACACAAATTCATCCATCATCTCTATTAGAGAGATAGATGCTGATAACCATAAAGAAATATTATATAGAGTTTGAAGACGACAGCACCTGATTGGTCTTTTTTTCATGCTTCTAACTAATATATTATTCTTCGATTGTGGTTATTGATTTAATAAAAGATACATCAGAAGCTAATGATTAGTTGTAGTGTCTGTTAATAACGAATGTTGTCAAAGATAAGGATGAATAGATATATACATGCGTAGCTGCATGTATAAGACACTATTATTGAGTTATTTTTCTTTTTTTTTTTATAGTCGAAGAACAAAAATCATATATAAAAGGAAAAAAAAATGAATAACATCCAAACACAACCAAGAACGAAAACATGGCGAAGATACTGAATGAAGTGGAGAAAAAAAAATAGTTGATTGAAAAAAAAGAAAGAAACGAAAGAGCAAAAAAACAACAAGTTGATTATAAACATAAATTTTATTTTAAATATCTGATTCACTAAATCTATAGATAGAAATGATAATCAACAAATTCTTTATCGTCAAACAATACTCATGATTGATCTTTTTTTTTTTTTTTCGTTTCTTAAGTACATTAAAAATATGTGACAATGAAGAAAAAAAGAAAACATAAAACATACGGTTCCAGTAATGAAACATTGTCGTCATGGTTGAGTAAACAAAACGACATATTTTATAAGAATAAATACATGAGTAAATATCGTCGTTCTTATTTGGATAAAAGTTAGAAAACATATAAAAATGTAATGACAGATATCTAATATAGAAACAACAGAGAACCAATGACTTTTTTATGTTCCTCAATTTCGATAGGTGGATTGTTTACGACGAATATTTTTATGTAAAAGAAAATAAATATAAAATATAAAAATCTATATTTATTATTGCACATCATCATTGAATAATTATCCTATGTTGATCAATGCACATAAGTCATAATCATTAAATGAATACTCACGTCAAACGATAATATTTTATTCTAATCTTTTCTTTATAAATGGTTATAAATAAGTACTTGTTATAAACAATAGAAACGGGAGGAAAAAAACAAATAACAATAAGAAAATATTATTCAAAAAATTTGTGACAATAATAATTGCAAGATTTCTTCGAAGAATGCAAAGATTCTCTTACCCATGAGAGTCTTATAATTTACTTTGCTTTCCATTAGACGACTATTTCTGTCATAGATAAAATTTATTGAATTAGAAACAGTGCGCTTTTGGGAAGATTCGAATAAGAGCATGTTGACATATGATACTATTCAACTGCAATATATTCACATTACTACGTAGTAATAAAAACAATGTGATTTCAAGGTCTATCTTAAATTTACTACTGCATATGTCGCGTTAGTTTATTCAGGACAAAAAAAAAAAACCTTATTAATACGGTCAATGAGTACTTACTATTTACTAACTTATCATTCATTTTCATGAAATCAATTATTTTATATAGTTTGTATTAAATAATATATAAGAGTGTAGAAATGATCAATAATGTTGATTTTTTTCCCACTCATTAAGACAACGTTTATGATAAGGTCATTATCCAAGGATTTTTTTCATTGCTTTTTGCGTTTATCTATCCGTTTGCCAATTTTTTTAATTTTTTTATATTAATAGTGCTGTAATGTTAGAGAAAGATATCATCTTTCTATTTGAAAAAAAAAATCTATATATTCAACACTCACTTTTTCGTTTTTTATCTTAAATGAATAAGAGATTTTTTTTCAAGGCAACAGATGTACATTAACATTAACGTTGTCTTTGACACAAACAACATCAATAACAAATGTAGTTTTCTCGATCGTTCTTTTTTCTATGTATACACAACAGCAGAATTAAGTAACGAAACAAACCTGTCTTCTCTATGTAGAGTGTTCGTTCTTGATTAAGAGCAAGCATTATGGATAGCGACGGCTTCGAGGCATACGTATCGTCTTCTGATAATAGTAGCGATGATGGAACTAAGTGAAGGGTGGTAATGGTTGAAGGCTATAAAATATGACTCATTAGATAAAAAAAAAAATAAAAACCTAATACCAATGTTTGTTTTTATACAGTCGAGATGCCTTCCATTCATAGAACGAACTAAAAGGGAAAAAAACCAACAATGTTAAGATAGAGAATAGATAAATCTAGAAGAAAGAATAACAAATCTAGCATTTCTTCTCATATGATAATTAGTAGAATAATCTTGAATTTCTATATGAAAACATTCGTTTTGTTGATAAATTGAATTATTAGAATATTTAAAAATAAATTATATTTCTCAAGGATATAAAATTTTTCTTTTTAGTTATGTATATTTATGATTTATTTTCAAATGAAATAAGTAATATGAAAAAAACTAAAGTTAACATATCAAATCAAGGAAATGTATACAATAGCGTGATTAAAATATATTGTTCAAATGTTCGATTTTATTTATGATGAGCCATCATTTCATAACCAGATGTCATGCGTACTTGTACACCACCTGAACCACTTAATGAACCCAGTTTTTCTACACCAACTTCTTCATGTCCACCTGTTGATGAAGTACTTCCTGAACGAGTTGATTTTGATTTTGTATCATCATTTTCAGGATCTTGTCGAGGTTCATTAGGTTCTTTACTATTATCAACTGATTTGTTTTTGCTACCTTCAGACGACATATTTTTTGAAAATTGATCGTTATTAATATAGACGTAAATTGTTATTAAACTACGAAAATGTATGTTTTACGTATAAATGTCTTATCCAATACAATTGCTGTTATTTGGCAGCCTCCTTTAAAATAGCATCAAAAGGGCGACATTAACCAATCATAAAAAAGCAAACAGCTGTAATTTATTTTATTGATTTCATCGTAGAAAAATTGTTTTTTTCTTTTTGAATTTTATTTCTTTTAAGAATTCAACATGAATGTCTAGACTTTCAACAAAATCCTATATTATTTACATAATATTTTAAATATTTTTTATAGAAATAAATTTTTAAAGAAATATCTTTCTTGTAATATTAGTTCAACAAAAGATAAATCTTAAACTATGATTTCTCATTTTCGAAGAAGAACCTGTAGTTCTCTTTTTCTATTTATTATTTTTATTGCTAATTTAATTTTAAAATAGTTAAGTTACTTGTTCAATGTGAAAAAGTTAATTGAAATAGTGATGTGCTAAGTTATTCAATATTCGAAAAAGAAAAGTAAAATTTCAATTTTGTTTGATTTTATTTTATATGATATGTTCTAATTGAATTTTTTTAATAACTATTTTATGTTTTACCTTTGGAGGACCGAATTTTTTTTTTTATAGAAAAAAATTGAATTTTCGCTTACAAAATCAACTATGGTTAAAAAGTGAAAAAACTAAAAATGTAATAAATTATGATAGTCCTCAAAACAACTGACAACATAAAAACCTACATTACAATCTTTACATAATTATATAGCATAGATCAGTCCTCTTTCTTCGACTAGTGTGTATATATATATATATATAACACAAGATTTTTTCTATTTATTGTGTGAAATACAAGAGATAGAAAGTGTCTAGCAGTAAATCTGGATAATTGATAAGTTCGTGCAGAATGACTTATTATAGATTTCTAAGATTTTACGAATAAGTTATAAACGATAATATACAAATTTAAATTTCTTTTCGGTATTGATTTTATAAAGCAAATATGCAATGAACGATGACGAACTACACTCTCAGCTAAATATATGTATACTCTATCTAGACTACTCCATAATGTCTATCTGTGTAATATGTATATTGGAATAAAATCCATAATAAAAATTCCAATTTTAGTGTATCCAAGGATTTCTACCCTAAGTCAAAGTTCAAAGCTCTATATATACGGCCACGGTCCCCAAAGGGTTAAATATACAGATCGTATTCTTTTTTTGTAATCTTTTAATATAATTCACTAAAAAAGAAAAATATCTATGAATGAATCTCACATTTTTTAATTGAATTGAAAACTCTTAAGTGATAAATGATTAATTTGTTTAAAAAAAAACAACTGTTTATAGTTTATGCATGTATTTCTACTAGTTGATTAATAATTAGATTTGTGTCAACAAAGATTTCGATTGAAATGAGTACTTGAAAAAAATATATATTTTGATTATTAAATTGAATATATGTTTGAATATCAAAGCAATTACAATTATAATACAAAAAAAATGTTTCAATCAATTACGATGTTTATTTTTTCCTTCTCTAAGGCTTCTTATTTAAATTAAATGCATATATTGGAGTGACCATTTTGACTGAATGTTCCAATTCTTTTTTCTTATCATGCACCTTTCATAATATATTAGAAAAATATGATCTTTGATCAATTATAGTACTCGCGTAGTACTGATAATGTGTTATTGTTTGAATTATATATATAATCAAAAACCAAAATTTTTGCTAAATCACATTTTATCAAACTCATACATTTATTATAGATCTTACTTGATTTTATTAAGACGCTTGATTATTTTGGTTTTGGACAAGACGCATATACTCTAAACAATAACAAAACATTATTACTACAAGAATATAATAATAACTGATAAAAAAGAGTATTGATGAGAAGAAGATCGATACTCACATCCTTCATTATTTTTTATTCTGTTCACAAAGGTTTACTTGTATAGAATAAATATTTATTATAAAGAAAGGGCATCGAAATCACTCTACTTCAAATAAATAGCGTGATATAAAAATAAACCATTTTATTCATCTTCGATTGACTCTGGTAATTCTAGTACTTGTTTTTTTTTTTCGTAAATGATTTAGTACAATTGAGCCAGGTGACATAAGTTTCCACGTTTTATACTGTTCACTCTTTTTATAAAATAATCAATTTTCTCCTTCTTGGTGCTAAACTAATCATTCAGTAACTGTTTGATAAAGGGCTCAGTGAAATGTAATGAGGAAGCATTCCAGTAAAGCATTACTTCGCTATCTAACAAATCATAGTGTAATGAACGTACGCGGAACAACAGAACAGAACAGAACACATAGAACTGAGTGAGGAAGAGAGAAACGAAACATAAACAAAGAACAAGAACGGAAAGAGAGGAAAAGTTAACAGCACAAAGACAAGGAGCTTATCGCATTGCATAACACCTTGTGGTTTTTCTTCACATGGAACAAAAATATTTTTTGCAAATCCCCCAAACGCGCGTTTCCGTACACGGCCACATTCTACACGCCTGTTGAATATTTATCTGATTTAATTCTTTTTCTAATGATTCGTATGGATATAAATATGTACGTTACCTTTCGTTCTGTTGTGCTCATGGACAGTCCGGATGATCAATGACTTTATTTTGCATCATATGTTGTATTTCTGCTTACTTATTTCGCATTTGTTTGTTCGAAAAATGCAGGACGAAAATTTCCACTTAATCTTAATTTACTCGTCATTATGGTAAAATAGAAAATTAAATTAATTAAAAAATAAAATTTTTAATTTTTAAACATTATCAAAGGGTTATATGAATAGTATTTATTCATTAAATAGTTTTATCTTTGTAGAAAAAATTTAGATGGATATGATTTCATCATATTATAAAGTCGAATCAGTCTTAATTGCTATTGATATAACAATATATGTTTGTTTTGAAATTACATTATTTTTATTTCAAACAAAATATGATTTTACATCATGTTTTGGAATTGTTTGTATTTTTACTTATTCAAGATTATGTATTTTAACGAAACAAAATATCGACGTTATGTTTTTCTTCTAAAAGTATTTATTTCTTTAAAATAATGTATACAATCTATGCTAGTCTTAAAGCTGTAGTTTTTCCAAGTGTGAGTTTTAATAATTAAGAAATCGAAAGAAATTATTTTCTGTTGTTAGTTCTTGACTGTTGACACACAATTAATTACGGGTAGAAAACGACATGAAATAAGTGTTGAAGATCATGTTTTTGCATCATTTATGCTTTATATTAATGTTATTTATATATTTGTATATATTCTTAGTTTGTTCGGCTATCGGAAATGAGATTATCGTGCATAGCATTCTTTCATTTCTTCGTTGTCTATATCCTCTTTTTTTTGCGTTCATTTTTCTACTGAATGTTCAACTTTTAGTTCTATAAGATTCCAGATATAAACATTTCAATATGTCTAGTTAATCATATTTGGAAAGAAAAATAAATTTTCATTCGCGGAGAAAAATCCCATAACTAGGCAAAAACTATCCAAATAGGGATTGTTTGTATTACAACTTCTATCGCAAGTAGAACTTGATGAACCCTGATTGCAGGCACCAGTTCAAGCTTCATCCACTTCATAAAACTGAGATAGAAGGCTAATATCAAGGAACTTTTCAGATTGTATTATCTTGAGCTAGAAAAGAGATCTAAAGGCGTTTGATCCCTCATTTAAAAGTATGGCTCTTGCACTCTTCCTGATGAGAATTTCATCTCAAAAGTATGTTCTTTCGTCAATGTATGGGGCATCCTTCATCGACCTACGTACATGAAAACTCCTAAATTAAACAGAGTGTGAATGCGGGCGCTCGATGGAAATCAATATAAACACCTACATCATTACTCTATTTTCTTCAAAAATATATGTGAGTTCCACAACAGCTCATCAGATTATTCTATTGATATTTAAACAATCTAATTTTGATTTTAATATTTATTGAGTTGGCTCGTTCACAGTTACAAAAATCAATATCGGTCTCACTATAAAAGAATCATCTTAAGAATAACAATAGATTTTTATAGAGAAGATTTTAATAATAAAATGATATCAACTGTTTAACTTAATGCTAAAACTAAAAATTCAAAATTAAAATTATTGAGATTTACAAAAAGCAATACTGATCCAGTTTCAACATAGGGTGTGGGGCATGGGTGTGGGTGGTGAGTGTCAACTATCTCTCGATATTTACCCACACCCACACCCACACCCATGTTCGCTTATCTTTTTATGTTAGAGTGTTTGGCGTTCATGCTGTCAGGAACGAGAATGCGACATGCATTTCCATCACTAGTAACGTAGAGTTTCCGAGTTCATCGAAGGAAAGGTAATTGTATATCCTGAAAGGAGGAGTATGCGGAATGGAAATTGGGGTGTGGATATGGGTATGTTGAGTTTTGTATCAAATATATTCAAAGCAATCATACGACGCGTTTCGACTATTGCTTAGATAGTCATCATTAGGAACGTTCAAAATCTATAACTACATAAGTAACTAAAAAATTTCTATGTTCAATTAAACCTATATATTTATAAGAATTATTCAACAAGTAACGCTCGTCCGTGTGAGTCGCTTGACCTTTGACTGAGTATTCGGCTCTTTTGGTGTTATATACTCTTTACAGTCTTCAACAATGCTAGTGTCCAGCATTTCGAAAGGATGGGTAGGTGTGTACATTGATATTAGCGTCAATTTCGTTGTGTACACTGGTATGCGAGTCCATATGATCATTTTTGTCATAAATTCATCAAATCAAATTGATACCCACACATTGATACTCAACAGAAATCTAAAGAGCTATACTACGGCAGCAATATCCGCACGCATCCAAAAAAAGAGATTATATTCAATTTTCTGAGAGGTCACGAAGCAAAACGCATTCGCGACTAGTGTCCGGCGTGACCAACTTTTTTGGTCACGGTCACGTCACGGTCACGAGGGGTTGATC